GGGGGGGGTGTGCATGATGAATTCATCCGGCCTGTGAATACTTAGCAGCGCAGGCATGTGAATACTTAGCCGTCAAGTATGCTCAGGCTAGCGAGTTTGAGTTCTTCAGTCTCCGAAATCTGATGTATATATTCGAAAGTAACCGTTTTTGGGCCCGGCGGCCAGTGCATCGGTTGATTCAGTGGGGGTGTCGGTGACTGCCAGTGAGGGTCCAATGAGCGGTGGTGCTTTGGGGTGGTTGCTTTCCCATGTAAAAACGGCGCCCCTGTGACGGGGATCACACTCAGCACCCGAGTGGGACGGCTGAGCGAAACACACTCTGACACTTGTATTCAGTGAACTCAGTTCCCACGCTGGGAAGGAAGGTGACAGAACTGCATGGTGAAAAGTCCGAAAGACTTGTAGGTGTTTCAACAAGTTGTTGGTCAAGTCTGCTGAACGATCGGTCGGCGCGGCTCAGCTGCAAGATAAACGCGGCAAAGGGGAGGTTTTGGGGAGGTATCATGGAACCACCATGACAGCAAACCAAAGGAAGAGTGGAGTCACAGCTTGATAGAACGGCAGGTACGCAGGGCTGATCGGGCCCTGCTTCCCACTCCCGCCCACAGCTTCGTTGCGTGTGGTAGGGCGGGAGTGCCACACGCCCCTGCCTGATTGGAGTGGTCGAAGGAAACCCTTTGTCCAGGGGTGGACACACACACACATACACCTTCTTCTTGCTTCTTCCATGTTCTTCCCGTCTTGCGCACCGTATACCCCCCGGTGGATCTACGTTCCCCGGCTGATGTGCCACTCCTGAGACACACCGGCGTCCGTCGAGACATCGAGTCAGCGGCCGCGAAGCATTTGAGGGTTTTCTTTAGGGTCTCCAGGTCCCGAAAACGAAGCAAAAGAGCCAGCTGTTTTGTTTTCTTGTTTTTTTCTTTCTGCTTCGGAATACCAAAAGAAAGCGAAGACCCTCCAATAGATGGTAAACGTGGTATGATCCCCACGTAGAACATGGACACCGCCATCGTGGCGTCCCCCCCAAAAGCCCGGGAACCCTCCTTTCTGCGGTCCGCAGAACGAGTACCGCGGCCATCGGTGCCACGCACCGACCGCTGGGACCGATGGTGGGACCGACCCACCACACCGCACCGCACTGGAGCCCCCAGGAACCTGTGGCTTCTTGGAGAACTGTGGCGAAGCAGGAACGCAAAAAACCATAAAACACCTCTGACAGTGCTTGCTGGATGCAGTTCGGAACAGTTCGAGGAACGCAGAACACGTCGCACATGATCACCGAAGGTTCTCCGCAGGTTTCAGGTCTGTGAACATGGGCTCCGTTCCCTTTCGTTGGGCGAAGTGGTGTGGTCCGCACAGCGTGGGATCTGTTTTTTTTATTGGTGGATTCTAGAATCTAGAAGTTGGCTTCTCTCCGATCTTGGAACACGCAGGCTTGAAATGGTCTAAAGAAGGGTTCCATGGGCAGAAAGGAAAGGCGCAGGAGATGATTCTGAGATAATGCTTCAGGCTCCAACTACAGCAGGTGCGGATGGGTTTGGGATCCAACTTCCGATACTGGCGCTCAAAAACAAAGTTCCCATCACGAAACATGGCAGGCCAAGTGAGCACAGATCACAGGAAGAACCCGATTCTGAATTAATGGAATCGAGTGATCAGAGTTAAGTTCTTCCCTCACAGTCCGAACCTTAGAAGGGAATACCCAAAGTATCTGAGGAAAGGAATTAATTAATTCAGTGATGAAATTTCACTGAATTATTCTTGTCCATCCCTGAATACCCCAAAAGAATTTCCTTTGCTTCGATGGTGCCAAATAAGTATACACACCCCCGCAAGCACGCGATCTTCAAACGGACCACATGGACCCGCCTAAGCGATCTTCATCTGTAGCTGACACACTGTCATACCAAACCCGGTCTTGAAGGTCCATGTGGTGCAGGAGTGTAGTCTTGGGACTTCTATAGGTATCCTTCTAACATCCCAGGCTATCCTTTTTTGCGAAAACACCTCTGTGGATCATGTCCATGTCCAACGCAGTGAGCGATGTGACCCTCTCTTCTTGTCCCAAACATGACACCACCGGCCTGGGGATTGGTCGTCTATCCGCTGCCCGACCACATCGGTCCTCCTTTCCCAGCAAAGCCGACATGGAGAAGTATTGAGAATCTCAGTGCGTGCCAGGCGAGGCGTGAATTCTGTGAGGTGGAAGGGGAGGAACCACTAGTCTTTGGAAGACAAAGGGAACTCCCCCACAAAAACCTTCAAGTTCCCCTCTGCTTGAGCAGAGGCTTTGTGGGTATCTGAATTCTCCAACTGCAAGCAGCTGAGGTCCAGGGGGCCACCTCATGGCACTGACGAAATACGTGTTGTTTTCTTTTTCGAAATGCGGTGTGACGAGGTGCCAATCCGGAAAGTTGAGTCCCAACTTGAGATGCTCCTTGTGTTCAGATTGTCACAATATCAACCCACCGAACGCAACCAATAGGCTTTGGCGGCTGACCTCTTCATTGCTACGGCCTCCCCCAAGATCGTGAGAACACTAAACTGTTAAACCCTGAACCAATTCCCAAACACCCCGCGCAAGGAACAAGACTCTGAGAATGGATTTGGACTTTTGACTGGCACCAGCACCGCGCAGGGCTGCAAAGTCTGCCTTCCTGAAACAAACGCGAATTCTACCTGGGTTCTTGCGCAACAGCGTTGCTTGAAGTCCGAGATCGTCTTGAAAGAGTTCCAAGCTCACCTGGCGCATGCCTGTGGTATCCCTCTCTTTCCGAGACTTCCCAAACCTAGTGACGATCTGGCATGTCACTCCAGCTTTGTGGCCTTTGCAGTGGAAAGCCAGTGACACAGCACAACACGGGCAGTTCCCTCCGAGAGACAATGACGGTCGATCTTGAAAGTGTCACAGACCCTTAATTCCTGAATGTCTGGTAAGATGCACTTCTGAAACAAAGACCTGCCAATGGCCCGTTGGGCAAGTCCGCAAACAACTGTAATGTTTGCTGCCATTGCCCGCCCTTCTCACAGGCACCGATGGCAGCACTGTAGCTGATCACGTCGGGCTGAACCTTCGCCTTGGGCATGGCCTCAAACAACTTCAATGCGTGCTGCCATTGCCCGCATTTCTCACAAGCACTGATGGCAGCATTGTAACTGATCACATTGGGCTGAAGTTTTGCATTGGCCATGGCCTCAAACAGGTTCAATGCTTGCTGCCATTGCCTGCCCTTCTCAGAGGCGCTCATGGTGGCATTGTAGCTGATCACGTTGGGCTGAACTTTTTCTGTAGGCATGGTCTCAAACAACTTCAATGCTTGCTGCCATTGCCCGCCCTTCTCACAGGAACTGACGGCAGCGTTGTAGCTGATCACGTTGAAATGAACCTTTGTTTTGGGCATGGACTTAAACAGGTTCAATGCTTGCTGCCATTTCAAGCCCTTCTCACAAGCACTGATGGCAGCACTGTAGCTGATCACGTTGGGCTCAACTTTCTTCTTGGGCATGGCCTCCAACAACTGCAGTGCCTGCTGCCATTGCCCACTCTTCTCACAGGCGCTGATGGCCGCACTGTAGCTGACCACGTCTGGCTGAACTTTGGCCTTGGGCATGGCCTCAAACATGTTCAATGCTTGTTGCCATTGCCCGCCCTTCTCACAAGCAGTGATGGCCGCACTGTAGCTGATCACGTTGGGCTGAACTTGTTCTGCAGACATGGTCCCAACCAACTTCAATGCTTGCTGCCATTGCCCGCCCTTCTCACAGGCACTGATGGCAGCATTGTAGCTGATCACGTTGGGCTGAATTTGCGCCTTGGGCATGAACTCAAAAAACTCCAATGCTTGCTGCCATTGCCCGCCCTTCTCACAGGCACTGGTGGCAGCATTGTAGCTGATAACGTTGGGCTGAACCTTCGCCTTGGGCATGGACTGAAACAACTCCAATGCTTGCTGCCATTGCCCGCCCTTCTCACAGGCACTGATGGCAGCACTGTAGCTGATCACCGTTGGCGCAACTTTTGCCTTCGGCATGGACTTAAACAGCTCCAATGCTTGCTGCCATTGCCCGCCCTTCTCACAGGCACTGATGGCAGCACTGTAGCTGATCACGTCGGGCTGAACATTTTCCTTGGGCATGGCCTCAAACATGTTCAATGCTTGTTGCCATTGCCCGCTCTTCTCACAGGCACTGATGGCCGCATTGTAGCTGATCTCGTTGGGCTGATCTTCCGCGTTGGACATGGCCTCAACCAACTTCAATGCTTGCTGCCATTGCCCGCCCTTCTCGCATGCACTGATGGCAGCATTGTAGCTGATCTTGTTGGGCTGAACATTTTCTGTAGGCATGGTCTCAAACAACTTCAATGCCTGCTGCCATTGCCTGCCCTTCGCGCAGGCACTGATGGCGGCATTGAAGCTGATCACGCTGGGCTGAATTTTCGCCTTGAGCATGGTCTCAAACAGGTTCAACGCTTGCTGCCATTGCCTGCCCTTCTCGCAGGCACTGATGGCAGCGTTGTAGCTGATCGCGTTTGGCTGAACTTTCACCTTAGGCATGGCCCTTAACAAATTCAATGCTTGCTGCCATTGCCCACCCTTCTCACAGGCACTGATGGCTGCACTGTGGCTGATCATGTCGGGCTGAACATTTTTCTTGGCCATGGCCTCAAACAACTCTACTGCTTGCTGCCACAGTTTTGCTCTGGCACAGGTAGATATTCCGATGGTGTAGTTTGACGCAATTAGTTCTATGCTACCATCTTCCCGGATTGCCTCCAAAGTAGCGTAGATGAGTTTCGCTGCTCCCTCTTGCTGGCAAAAGGCCCTCAAGAACGACCCAAGGAGTGCTTTTGAGCGTCGCACTTCTGGTAGCAAAGTCGTTTTTAGAGCATCTTCAACATTTCCTTTTTCTGGTCTAGGCACACATAAAGACCATAAACACGTGTTTATGTAGTATTGTTATGCCGTCCAATGATCATGACGGTCATGGCAGGGAAAGATTACCATACAAACTCATCCACTTCAACATCAGTATCTTTACATATAGTGATATTATGATATGGGTGGTTGCTCTGCCGATACTTTTCCTACAAGTAAGGGGTCATGTCCAAGAAAGAACAGGATTCACAACATCCAGGTTTCTTTCAGTCACTGCTTGGCACAGTATCTGTACCAATCCATCCGCTAGTTCAGCATCGCTTGACAGCTTTCTGCAGCCTTCGGACCTGGGTAGATCTCAAAAACTCCGACCCTTTCTAGTGGACAGGATTACTTTGTGTCTGGCATACTTGGCACCTACAGTAGATGTTCTGTTGGTTCCCTATTATAATTATGCATGTGCTTCTCCATGTAGTTTCTGCCAAATAGAACAAACATCTGCGAACCACGTGGTGCAAAACTCCTCGTATACTGCGGTAACAAACCCAATTGCTGCTAGGGCAAAAGACTAGATGAATGACATACCTGAATAACGCCTTCAAATACCGCTTTCTGGAGTCTTCATCACTTCTTACACAACCAGGAGATGTTCGAACTCTCGCGGTGTACGAATTTCCACCTCATTCCCACCTTGCTGATCTCTCTTCTCGAACTCGTCTCAAACTCCTTTGCAGGATCTGCTTGGACCGTTCTCGAAGGCGAAGCAGGCCCAGCAACACAAGGAGGCCAGCAAAAGGTGGTCCAGGCTGGAATGAATCCGTGGGTGAGTTGTTGCACTGAAGAGACAAACTTCTTCTCCTGAGATGTTTGATTCCGAAGACGGCTTTTTGCAAACCAATAAAGAAATTTGTCGTTTGGGGATGTAAATGCGTATCCTGCATCATGAGGTGTGTCTGGAGGGGAGGATGTGGTGGAAGAAAACCTGCAAAACAAAAGGAAAATGGCAGGTTCTGCATCAATTGATGTGGAGGTAGTGTGCTATATGATCTGGGACAGAGTATGAAATGCTATGCTTGCCGTGACAAATTTTCTACACTGCTGAAAGGAACTGGTCGCATGCCTTTCATGGACCGGGTGATTTAACTGATGCAATAATATACAGTATGGTGCTTCTCAGCTCCAGGTTAACATGCATATTGCAAAGTTTACTGCAGGAAGGCTATTGCACACTCCCTTTGAAATTGTGCATTTTCAGGGGGCCCAACTTATATCCAACAATGCCTGCAAATGTCTTATTGCCCAGTAGATATTTTTCATTCATCCACAGCATGGCGCTTGTCAAAATGCACGTTGCAAATAAATGTGTAACCACTCTATTTTCGACATGCTTGCAACATGACCCCTGCCTCAGGTAGGGCCCTGGGCCCCCCTCAATTAGTAAAAACAACTATTTGAAGGGGTGCACACCAGGTTTTGGGAAATTCATTGCAGAGCGTCCCTTACCTCAATTAGTTTTCTTCAAAATTTGCCTAGGCCCCCCCTACACCCCCCAAGTCACCGACACCTCACAAGCCCCTCAATGGATTTCCACTCGCAAGGTGGCACACCCCCCATCCACAGCTACGCCAACGTAATACGTAAGCAGCCTCAAAACCAGGCAGGAAAGTGGCCACGGCATGCACACCAAGCAGGAAAGCAGCCACCACACCCAAAACCAGGCAACCAAAATTATTTCAGGGGGGGTTGGCCTCTGGACGAGGGGTTGATTGATTGAGTATGCAGTATGCTAGCTTGAACCAAGGTACACTGGGAACATGGAATGTAGACCCTGAATATTCTGAAGCTCGCATCGGTGTCCTTAGTTACTTTGGTTCCTCTCTTTGTCTCTTTCTTTCTTTCTTTTTTTCTTTCTTTCTCTCTCTCCCCCATCCCGGCCCCCCGTGATAATTAATTGAGGGGTGTGCGACCTCTCCACCATCTCTTGATTATTTCTCAAGCACATATGGCCCTAGCTTGATCCAAAGTACACCGGGAGAATGCAGAATGCCAGTGAATTTCTTTTTTCCCGACTTAGGTGTTTACCAAAATTGTCGACAAATTGTCTGAGAACAAAAAACTAATTGAGAAACATTAATTCGTAGGTCACCCCCTTCCAATTATCTATTTAGTGGAGGAATCATCTTGCAACTGTACATTCTTGAGGGGTCCAGCTTGTATCAAACAATGCACATTTCTACACGCATTGTTGGATATAAGGTGGACCCCCTGAAGAATGTACTGTACAGTTTCACAAAAGAAATTGTTAAACGGTTAAACATCGTACAGTAAACATCTAAAACCCTGCTCATTCGGTTGGCATCTGGGGCGCTGGCTTGGACACGAAATACCATTCCTTTCCTTGCCCCCGTCTCTTGAAGCAAAGAGTGCGGGCGGTGGCCGTCGCAAAGCGAACTCGGAAAAACTTAAACGCAAAACCCTTCATACTTCATCATATTACCTAAACGTCCCACTTCGCACTCTCTGAGTTTCGTGCCACACCAAAAACTGAAAACATGACCATTGCCTGAAGCGCTCCTTACTTTCATGCAAACATTCCACGTCTTTCGACATCAGGCACAAAAATATACAAAAGCACATGGACCTATACTGAAACAAATCACAATCACATCAAATTAGCCTGCAGACCATTCATGGGACCGGAATAGTTACACTGTTACGTGCATTTAACTGAAGCGTAGCTCCCATGGATACTCTAGGAACACACCTCTACGTTTCCCCCAAAAAGGGAAGTCAAACCTATAGTGAAGAACCCACCAATCTCCCCAAAAAAGTGACCCGCAGGCGGCCCACGTACTTCCATCTACCGGGCCTCCTCCAAGGCTTCAAGTCGTCCTTGGCGAAGAAGCTGTTGCGACGCCCGCTCGGATGTTGGGTGCTTCGGCCAGGCTCCGTGGTGAAGGAATCCATGGTGAGGCGGTGCAGCAAAGCTGCGCTGAAGGAGGATCTTTCTCGGGCCAACGAAAGAAAGCGCAATGAACAATTAAAGCGAAGGGATGGCGCACTTGCATCACCAGCATCTGCTTACTTTTTGTTGGACTTGCACAGCGATGCTCAAGTTGAGAGCGTGTCAGGGAAGCAAGGACATGGGCTGGGTTCCTTCAAAAGACCGGAGGAAGTTCTGCTCAAGGGATGACGTGACGAAGTTTTGCTCGAAAACGCCACCCCGGCTGTCGTGAAAGGTTCCAAGGTCTGATGGGCGAGTGGCTCTTGAATGCTTTCGGCTTAATTGCTGCACACTCCTCGCTCTATTACATCCTGCAGTGGAAGTTGGCCTTAGATCTTCTTGAATCCGCCCCCGGGGGCTCATGTCATGAGGTGCTCTTGGAGGTGTGTGGCGACGCTAGACGTTCATACAATGAAAGGGCCTGGTTCTGAGGTTCTCACCGGGGTGTCCAGCAAATTCGCTGGCTTTTGGCAGTGCGTTCATTCGCCTCGAGATCTTCAAAATGCATTTCGACTCCACAGGGCTCCTGGAATCTGGCCCGAGCGGGTGCTTTGTCGAAACGGGCCGGGCAGCGCGTGGTCGGGGTCTAAAGTCGATTGGAGCGGTTTGGCGCAGTGAGTCGTGACCTTTGGACATGTGGCTTGTTTTCAGAGAACGAGGAAATCTTGCGCGAAAGCTGCGCTTTGGCATCTTGATGTTGTCTTCGGAAGAGCTCTTGCTGCGAACAGCACCTTGGCAGGGCTGAGCAATGTGAATCTTGATGTGCAGATTTTGTAAGCAGGCGCAGCACTTTGTCAACCTTGAAGTGCAGATTTCGCAGCAAGCGCCGCACTTTGTGGACAGCAGCAGGTGCAGCAGTTTGTGAACCTTGAGTCACAGATTTCGTAACCGGCACAGCCCTTTGTGAAGCTTAAAGGCAAATTTCGTTGCCGGCGCGGCACTTTGTGGAATTTGAAGTGCAGATTTCGTGGCAGGCGCAGCTTTGTGGACTTTGCGGTGCAGATTTCGTGGCTGGTGCAGCACTTTGTGCACCACCATCGCCATCACCGCCGCCATGATCACCACCACCGTCACCGCCATCAGCATCACCACCATCAACATAATAATCACCACCAACACCACCAATATCACCACCATCAGCTACTACCAC